ACTTGCATATGAGTAGTTGGTGGTCTGTTCCACAGTCAGCTCCTGGCCTAGTTTTCACAGCTGATATTGAACTTCTCCAGTGGTCTTTGCACAGATGTAATCTGATTCCTATGCATACCATCAGGTGAAATCCATGTATATAACCTGCGTTTATGTCTCTTAAAAAACGTATTTGCGATGAATAAGTCATTGATTGGGCAACATTCTATCATCCTCTATCCAGCTCCATTTCTGTCACCGAGTCCATGTTTTCCAACTACTGAATCTTCTTCTCTATTCCCAACTTTTGTATTCCAGTCAACCGTTATTATCAATGCATCTTGAATGTTGATGAAGTAGAGGGTCTGCCAAAAAAAGAAGACATTCAATGAGATGGATTGACATGGTGGGCGCAACAACAGGCTCAAGCCCAGTCCCTATTGTGAGAACGGGTCAGTATTTTATTCTGTTGTGCATACTGTTGTTATAGCTCATAGTCACGTGAATGGCATCTAATGGCAACAACAACAAAAAGATGCAAATGTACAGAAGAAACAAGACGTTTAATTTTCAATTACTTCATCACATTTCATTCTATTTTCTTCTTATTCTATTAAATTCTCATCTTGACAATTTTTTCTGATTCTTCTTCCCATTTCACGCAGGCCATGGGTTCTTATGGCTACTGAAGAAATATTTTTCTGGAATTTCCTTTTGAATCCTGAACCAGGTTATTTCAAGAGATATCTCTGAATCTTCCAAATGATTTTGACTCTTCCTTTTCTTATTCAGGAATAAATATTCCCATATTCAGACACGCTATTAAGTAGTTAATTGTATGTTTGTGCTATGTTAAAAAATTGGTTTTCATTGCATCTTTCTTATGGCCAGTGATTTTGAACATTTCTTCATGTGTCTCTTGGCCATCCAAGTATCTTCCTCTGTAAAAATTCTTTCCATGTCTTTTGCCCATTTAGTAATTGTGTTGTTAAGTCTTTTTTCCTGTGAAGGGCCTGTAGGAATCTATAAACTGTTGATATGAGACCCTTGTCTGAAATGGTACTGTGAAATGTTTTTTTTTCCAGTCAGTAGGTTTTCTTTTCACTTTGTTGGAAAAAGTTTTTGATGCACACAGACATATACTCTTTAGAAGGTCCCATTTATCAGTTTCATCCTTTCCAGGCTGTGCATTTCTGGCTGTATTTGGCAGTCTCTTTATACCATAGACTAGGCTGCCTAAGCTTGACATCAGCTTGTCTCAGACGAATTTTTCGGTTTTAGGCTCCACTCCCAGGTCTCTGATCCACCTTGGGCTGGTTTTGTGTATGGGATGAAATGTGGATCCTGTTTCAGCTTTTTGAAGGTAGAAGTCCAGTTTTGCCAATGCCATTTATTGAAGAGGTTGTCATTTTGCCATTTGATAGGTTTTATTTCCTTGTCAAATATCAGTTGACCATAAATAGCTGGATCAATTTCAATTTTATTTTGTTCCATTGGTCTATGTGCCATCTTACCCCAGTAGCAGTGGCAAAATTCAATAGGACAGCAAGTAATAAATGTTGGAGAGGATGTGGTGAGATACAAACTTTTATACATTTTTGGTGGGATTGTAAAATGTTACAACTACGCTAGAAGGCAATCTGGCACTTCCTGAAAAAAGCTGAACAGAGAAATTCCATATGACCCAGCTATTCCACTGCTTGGAATATACCCCAAGAAAATGAGAACTGAGGTACAATCAGAAACCTGCAAAGCAATGTTGACAGCAGCCTTATTCACCATACCAAGAATATGGAAACAGCCCAAATGTCCAACCATAATGTAATGGATTGAGTAATTATGGCACATTCATATGATGGAATATTATGCAACACACAGGAACAATTTTGTAAATTACTATCTACCTTGGGAGGGACTGGAGAGCATTATGCTAAATGAACTCAGTCCCATGAAGACAGATACTGTAAAGGACCATTATTGTAGAACAAGTATGAGGATCCAAGGGGAGGGAAGCAGAGGGGCGAGGATGCATAGTGCTAATCACAGGATCACACAATTTGATGGTTGGAGGGGGGGTGTGAAGACAATGGGAAAGATCCAGTGTGAAAAACAACATATATTAATTTTGTAAATAAACCATTATAAATAAAAAAAATAAATGGGCTTTCATTCAATGATTCATATGTTGTTGTTGTAATTATGTGCCATTGAGTTGCTTGTGACTCATTGTGACCCTGTGTACCATAGCCTTAAACCCTTCTCTGTCCTGTGCCAATCTGTCTCTGAGACACCCACTCTGATTACCACAGTCATTGACTCAATCCACCTCATAGAGGGTCTTCTCCTCCTGTGCTGTTCCTCCACCATCCCAAGCATGATGTCCCTCTCCAAGGACTGGTCCCTCCTCACAACATGTCCAAAGTATGTCAGACAAAGCCTCAGAATCCTTGCCTCCAAGGAGCAGCCCTGTTTAACCTTCTCAAGGATAAACCCATTTGTTTTCTTAGCAGCCCATGGTACATTCAATACTCTTCTCTAGCACCACAGCTCAAAGGCATCAATTCTCCTTCTATCCTCCCTATTTATCCTCTGATGCATAAGTGATTGCAAAGACCGTGCCTGTGTCAGGCACACCTTAGTCTCCAGACTGATACCATTGCTCTTCAGCATGTTGTAATACATCTTTTAATTTCCTGGCTGCTGGTGCCAAGAGTGTTAACTGTGGAGTCAAGCAAACTAAAGCTATGAACAATCTCAATCTCTTCACCATCCATCCTGATGTTGCCAGTTGATCCTGTGGTAAGAATCTCTGTCTTGATATTAAGCCTCAATCCATATTGAACACTGCATCAAGCGCTTCAGGTTCTCCTCAGTTTCAGCAAGCAGGGTTGTATCATCTGCATATTGCAGATTGTTGCTAGATCTTCCACCAATCCTGATGCCACACTTATCCTCATAGAGCCCAGCCTCCCGGATAATCTGTTCTGCATATAAGTTGAAAAGGTATGGAGACAGGACACATCCCTGGCATAAACCCTTCCCAATTTGAATCATGCAGTGTTTCCTTGCTCTGTTCTGATGACTGCCTCCTGGTCCAAGTATAGGTTTCTCATTAACATGATTAAGTGTTCTAGGATTCCCATTCCTCTCAGAGTCAGCCCCAGTTTGTTATGATCCACACAGTCAAACACTTTTGCATAATTAATGAAACACAGACAGACATTCTTATGGTATTCCCTGCTTTCAGCCAAGATCCATCTAACATTAGCTACAATATCCCTGGTACCACGACCCCTTCTAAACCCAGCCTGGACTTCTGGAAGTTCTCTGTTGATGTGCTGTTCCAGTCATTTTTGGATAATCTTCAGCAGAATCTTGCTTGCATGTGAAATCAATGGTGTTGTTCTATCATTTTCACACTCTGTTGGGTCACCCTTCTTAGGAATAGGAATAAGTATATATTGTTTAATAGTATTATTTACAGTTGATCATTGGTATTTACTACTACATCCCTTTACCCTAGCCCTCCATCCACTTATCTCTGCTCCATTTTTTTTTCATTCCTTTCTCTGTTAGTACTGTATGATAGTTTCTGTGAGCAAACCTTTCCTTAGCCTTTTCCTGCCCAGTCAATTATGGTTATATTATTCCATATCATTAACGGTAATACACACAGTGTCTGATTGTCCATTCATTCCACATTGCCATTCCCTTCACTTACTGCAAGTGCACATGACCTCTTCTGTCATTTTCTAGTCTCCCCCACCTTCTACTCCAAAGCATACTACATTGATTCTATCTGTATAAATCATTCTCTAAATTTGCATTGTTAGTTTTATTATTTTTAGTAACAGTGGTCTAATGCAGTATTTGTCCATTTGTGATCACCTTATTTAACTTTTATTAAAAATTTGGAGGTGGCTTTATGCTGTTATTAAGAGTGAACTTGATCATGAATGGAGAAAAGTAAAAGTCCCTGAGGTTAACAAGTCTGTGAACTGTGTGAAGAATCTTGAATAAGTGTCTCTACTAAGATGTTGAAGTCACTGAGCAGAGTTATGAAATTTAATAGCATAAATGTCATTACAACAAACATTTGCTGAAGCAATCATATTAGTAAAAAAGAAAGAAACTCATTGTCCTCAAGTCTGAAGAGACCCATGGTTGACCCTCTAGCAGGTTTCTGAGGCTGCAAATCACATGGAAGACCACGGCCTATCTTTCAGCCTGGGAGCTGCTGGTGAATTCCAACTGCTAGAGAAGCACTGCCCTTGGGTTAGCTGCACGACACCCTATGGACTATGCATACATATGTGATCTCCACACTACACTAGCATAGTGTGTAGATCATATATGTATTCACAGATAAATTGTGTTATCCAAAGAGAAACTCAAAATGGTTGCTTTTACACTCCTAAAAATGTAAAATATTATGGAGACCAAAGCTATACAACTTATTGCCATTGATTCAGAACAGACTCATATTGAGGCTCCACTTGATTTTCAGAGGTCATAAATCTTATAGGAAAATAATGCTCACATTTCTTCTATGAAGAAGCTGGTGGATTCAAACCATGTGTGCACCTCCCTACAGATTAGGCCCCCATATCACTTTTAGCAAGTTGTTAGGTGTCATGGAATCCAGTACTACTCTAGCTTTACTACACTACAGGAACTTCCTGCATCAGCCAGGACCATGAAAGTAGGAGCTCATGCTCCCTTTTGTGATCACTGTTCTAGATCCCGGCTCCCACCCCTCATGCTCAGGTAATCTGGATCCTATATCTTTTGTAAGGGTTAGTTCATCTAGGTCCCAGTAACACCTCTAAGGAGCTGTTCATCTGGGTCCCAGTTCTCCCTTTAAGAGGCCATTCATCTGGGTCCCAGGTGCCCTTCTAAGGGATCGTCCATCCGGGTCCCACTACCCCTTCCTAGGGACTGTCCATCCGGGTCCCAGTTCCCCATCTAAGAGATTGTTCATCCGGGTCCCAAAGCCTCCCTAGCATTGCCTACATCCGGGGTCCAATCCTCCCTATATATAAGGCCCCACTAGCGTGGTCCGCGCGCCATCTTTGGTGACGGTTCTGAGCTCCACTTTCTCGATCGAACTGTGACACTTAAACCTTCGCTGTTGGGCCCGCAGTCACCACCATGGCCACTGCGCCGCCCTCCCAAGTGCGCCAGAACTACCATCAGGCGTGCGAGGCCGCCATCAACCGGCAGATCAACATGGAGCTGCACGCATCCTACGTGTACCTGTCCATGGCCTACTACTTCGACCGCGACGACGTGGGCCTCCCGAACTTCATGGCCTTCTTCCTGCACCAGTCTCAGGAGGAGAGAGAGCACGCGGAGAAGTTGCTGCGCCTGCAGAACCGGCGCGGGGGCCGCATCCGCTTTCACGACATCGGCAAGCCCGAGCGCGACGACTGGGGCAGCGGCCTGCTCGCCCTGGAGCACGCCCTCCACCTGGAGCAGAGCGTCAACCAGAGCCTCCTGGACCTGCACCAGCTGGCCTCCGACAAGGGCGACCTGCAGCTCTGCCACTTCCTGGAGGCCCACTTCCTGCACGAGCAGGTGATCGCCATCAAGCAGCTGGGCGAGCACATGATCAACCTGAGCCACCTGCAGGCCCAGGGCGCCAGCCTGGCCCACTACTTCTTCAACAAGTTCACCCTGAGTGACAGCGACAACGACGACTGAGCCACCAGATGACCGCCCTTCTACAAGGTGCCCGGCAAGCGTGCGTGCAGCAGGGCCACCACCTCCACTTCCTTTCCCAAGCCTAACGTTTCTAACAATAAAATGTTCTGGCAAGAGTGAAATAAAGGTCTCCTGGTCATTCTTGTCCTAGTTTTGGGGAAAAGGACAAATCCTCCTGGAGAAAGAACGACGGGAGTCTCCCCAGCACTTTGCAGTGCAGGATCTCCAGGAGTGGGGGAGGGAAAAGGTTACCCTGGGAAACAGTTAATCTTTCCCTTATTGGAAGGAGAAATGGGGTGGGCTGGGGTCTAGAGTGGGTGAAGTACTGGGGTGGGGTAAGATAAGGTGGGGAAAAGGACATGAAAGGTGGATGGGATGGAGGAACGGAGGGTGGGGTAGTGGAGCAGGCTTTCCACCTAGAGTGTAGAGTCACCCAAGCCCTCTGGACCTGCACCAGCTAACCATTGACAAGGAAGATAGGCAGCTGTATGACTTCCTAGAGCCCCACTTCTTCTATCAGCAAGTGGGAGCTGTTACGTGTTATGGAGCTGGGTGACCACATGACCAAGCTGTGCAACCTGAGAGGGCAACGCCTGCCTGGCCATCTATCTCTTCACAAAGTTCAGCCTTGGAGAGAGTGACAAGGAGAAGAAATGAACCTTAGTCATGAGAAGACGACTGTTCTCCCTGGTGTTTAGCAAGTGTACTCCAGTTCCAGTATCTTCATTTTGTTGATTTCTTTTCTCTTCCAAGCCTTTTCTCCCAGAAAAGTGATTTAGCTTCAGAGTTTAATACACAGAGGTCTGCTAGTCATTCTTATGTATGCAACACTCTCAACTTTTAGGAACTTTGAGGAGTCTCCCCACTTTCCCATCCCCAGAAAAATGCAGCTCAGGATCACCAGGGGCCAAGGAGGGAAAGGGTATCTCAGAGGAGCCCAGCAAACAGAGTTATTCTTCCCATTACAAGCAAGGTGGGGTGCTGGGATTAGAGAGTGAGAAAGATGGAGGGGGTATGGGGTGGGGGAAGGTGCAAGGATCAGTGAGTTTGAGTTCGAGAGAAGCTAATTGGATTGGGAAGGAATGAAAATAAATGGAGGAGGGATTTTCCTTTGTCTTCAATGTTTTGCTGTTGTGTGTCCTCAAGTGTGAACCAATCATAGCTGACCTTCCTGCATCTTTTCAAAGGGAGGAGCTTGCTCATGCCTCTGTGGAGCAGCTGGCGGATTATAACAGCATGCCTTTGCAATGGCAGTGCAGCCTGTCTAGGCTTAACTGAGAAAATCTTGGGCAAGCTGAGCCTTACTTTGAGGATCAAGCTTTGAAATTGATAAGGAATTTACTTACACAAATGTTCGGTTCCACGTAAGAGGAACTTTGTAAAGTCAAGGGATGAAACACTGAAGATGGCAGGAAACCTGGGAAAGACTCCGCAACAGTAGCTGGAAGAATGTTTGGTGGTACAACAGGTGTGACAGCAGGAAGCTTTTTCTGGGAGAGTGGATCATGGTTGGACTAGTTAGCAACAGAGACACTGATGGAGGTCAGAGGCAGAGAGGTGTGCATGGTGGAGAGAAGCCTGCTTATTAGCAAGGCTGAAAGGGTTTTTTTATTGAAAGCTGTTCTTATAGGAATTTGTTCTCCACTAAAGAAAGATGTGTTTTCCATCTGGAAGAGGCCTTCAAAATTTGGCCTTTGTCTTTGCCAATCTACATAACAGTGAAAATAATCTCTGCGTTCTGTGTGGTCATTGCAAGCACTTAAAACACCCAGAGGGGACGTAGATAGTTCCCTATGTGGGTGAGGACAGCTAATGTTAGAGATGGTGAAGAAGTTGGAGAGAGGAAGGATGTCTGACCTCCACCTTACAGAAACAATCTTGTTACTGTTGTTAGGTGCTACTGAGTCGAGTGTGACTCTTAATGACCCTATGAACAACAGATCTGAACCATGTCCTATCCTCATCTTCTCTTACACACTTGGACCCATTGCTGCACTTAACTGTATCAATCTATTTCACTAATGATTTCCTCCTCTTTCACTTATCTTCCATCTTTCTAAGCATAATGTCCCTTTCCAATGAATGGCCTCTCTTGCAACATGCCCAAAGTATGAGATGAAGCTTCACCATTCTTGTCTTCAAGGAGCATTCTAGCTGCACTTTCCCCAAGACATCTGTTTGTTCTTTTGACAGTCCAGGGAACATTCAATATACTCTTTTCCAACACCACAGCTCAAAGGCAGCAATTATTCTTCAGTCATCCGTATATATTGTCCACATCTTAGATGCAAAGCAAGTGATTGAAAAGTCCGTGACCTGGATCACGTGTACCTTAGTCTTCAAACTAACAGCATTTCTCCTCAGTACTTTGGAGAAGTTCCTGACTGCAGACTTGCCAAACACATCACCTGATCTCCTGACCGCTGTTACCAAGAGTTGATTTTGGGACTCAAGTAAAATGAAATCATTGTTATTTTCTAACTTTTCTCCATCTATCATGATGTTGCTTATCAATCTAGTAGTGATGATTTTTGTCTTCTTGATATTGAGATGCAAGAATTTCATGTCCTCTTCAATTTCAGCAAGCAAGATTATGTCATCTGCATAACACAGGTGGTTGAGATTTCCTCCTATCCTGATGCCACATACTTCTTCAGAGTGTCCAGATTCTCAAATTATTTACTCAGCATACAGACTGACTAGGTATGTTGAAAGGATACAACCCTGATGTATACCTTGTCTCATTTAAAAATACGTAATGTGCTCTTGCTTTGTTCTGACAACAGCTTCTTGATCTAGGCATAGATTTTGCATGAGTATAATCAAGTGTTCTGTGATTCTTATTCTTTTCAATGTTGGTATCTCTTGCTGCATTGAAGAACGTACAGAAAGGTGGGGTAAGGGGAGCAGCAGACATTGCACAGGTTCAGGAGAGAGCCAATGCTGGCCTGAGTTGTGAAGGTGGTTTAGGAAATGAATAGATGTAAAACAATTCCAGGTAGATTTTGGACACATCAACTAGAGGTGTCCATGCGCTGGAGGTTGAAGAGTCGTTGTTGTTGTTATGTGCCGTTGAATCATTTGCGACTCATAGTGACCCTATGTACAACAGCCCTAAACCCTGCTCTATCCTGTACCAATCTCATTGTCCCTGACACACCCATCCCGATTACCCCAGTCACTGAATCAATCCACCTCATAGAGGGTCTTCCCCTCCTGCGCTGTCCCTCCGCTCTAGCCAGTATGATGTCCCTATCTAAAGACCCGTCTCTCCTTACAACATGTCCAAAGTATGTCAGACGAAGCCCCA